ATCACGAAAGCACGTATAAGCTGCAAGCTCGGCATGTCAAACACCTATATTAAGTCCAGATGCTATAATCAACATCTATTCTGACTTAAACAGAAAATCACAATCATACTTAGTCGAACTTGATTCAACTAAGTTGTTCGTGAAATCCTGTGGACATTGGAACACTTAGACTCGACATCTAGACTCAACCAATTACACATGGGAGTTCACATAATCCAAACACAAACATTGACCAAGCCAGACACTTAAGAAAACGGAAGACGAGTCGATTTACAAATTTATTCTAAACATCACATATACTAATATACTAGTTTTAAATCACAAAAATGAGTTGATCAGGTTATCATACGAATTTAACTCTGAACTTTTAACCAAAATTTCACCTCCCAGAGTTAAGCAAAATCACAAATTTTTAGCCCCAAACTCAAAGCATGTTGTTTTATAAAATTCGATCAAGTTTTTGGAAAAAACGGACATACAACAGCAACCAAATCAAATGAATGAATTTACCATGAAAATTTTACACAAGCAGTAAAAACATTAGAACAACGACATATAAAATTTTCAGTAATTAACATCAAGTATCCGAATTTTAAAAATTAAAACTAGTTTCTGCTGATTTCGAATTTTCAATAAGGCTGAACCAAAATGTACCCAAATAAATCTCATCTTTTTGTACGCTGAAACTCATCACAAAATGACCCCAGTTATAATTTTTCAGCAATTTAGCACAACAGACCAATTTATTAAAATTAAAATCTGCAGAATTCATCAAATAATTTTTAAATATAGCAAACGAAGTCCAAAAATTCTAAACCTTTTACACGACCTATAAAACATACTAGGAGACAACATACTCACATTTCATAAGTTTTGGAGCAAAACCCAATTTAATAGGCATTTAACAATATTCTACTCAGAATTTCATACAATTATTAAAAATAGATATACTTATCATTTTAATCCAACATTTTTACACAACATGTATCTCCAGCAGAGGGATGAGCACACAAAATTTCATAGCAATACGAGCATCTCACAATTTATCATAATTTATATACTAAAACGGCGACTAGACAATTTCATTAATTCATAACCGACTCATTTTACGACGAATCCGTCCGAAGTCTTCGCTATAAGACTAAGGACAATACTAGTTCCAACTCACAACGACTTTATCACGAATCGACGAGGTCTCGTTCGATTTCATCGAATCGAAGAGTTCGTCTACATATACAACATTTTTTCCTTTAGCAATTTCAAACACACATATATATCCTTATGAACACAAAAGTCACATAATTATATTCACAGTATTCAACGATCTCTTTAAACAATCAATAACACAACATACACGAGACGAAAAATTAAACGAGACGGGTCGAGCCTTGTACCGTTCTCGAGATAACGATCGAAAACGGAACGAATACGAGAGTCGACGAACGGTGGCATGATTTCACGAAAACCGAGGCGCTGTGGTGCGTTGATGACGTTGCTGAGATGCTCGCAGCTTGCTGGTTCGCCGAAAAACGGCTAGTTGCGGCGGTGGAGTCGCTGCAACGTCGTGAACGGAACTCGTCGGAATTAGCGAGGTTGCTGCGGTGGTGGCTCATGGTCGCGGATGTTGCTGGACTTCGTCGGAAGTGGCCGTCGGGGTCGCCGCTGGTGTAGTCTGCTCGCGAATGGGAGGTCACCGACGGGGTGCAGTGGCTCACAGCGAGGGGACGGCGGAGGAGCAGGATGACAGGGTAGATGATGATGTCGAAGGGCGATGATGGTGGAGGAGATGGGGGTGATCGGTGATGGGAAGGAGATGATGGTAACGATGGAGGAAACGAAAAGAAATCTTTCTCTGCTCAAGATGTCGAGAGAGAACAAAACACAAAGGCTGCGGGGAGGGTTTTTCTGATTTGAGCGTGAAGGAGAAATAGGTAGATATATATATATATATATATATATATATATAATACTTATACATACATATAATAGGTTTAATGTCTTGCCCAATAAGACACACACACACACACTCACGGGCCGAATTGGTTGGGCTCGGGCTTGGGCCGGATTATCGGGTTCGGTTCAATGAAATGTATCGGCTCTCGGGCCCGACTACGTAGAAATAATACAGTTTTCTCGAGCTCGATAATTAAATCACACAATTAAACAAACCGAATATTATATATAAATATAATACCCACGTTTAAATCTTTAAAATAATAATAATATTAGTAAAAATACACATTTTTAATAAATTAATAACACTTAGACAAATAGGCAATTAATTCAATATTTAGACAATTAGACATTTAATTTACAATTTAACAGATAAATCATATTGACATTTAATATTTAACATTTAATCAATAACAATAACAAATAAAGGAAAATAATAATAATGATAATAAATAATAATTAATTCTCAAAATTCTATAATTCAAACGGGTTATATTCGGTTCACGCGATTGAACTGAAATCGCCGTACAACGAACGTTTTCCAATAAAACGATCGAGTACTTCAACCTTATATTTAAGTCGACATCGTGACTAACAAAAAAAAATATAACCTTACAAATAATATTCAATAAATAGAATAATCCGAGAAATTCTATAAATCGAACGGGGCGCTACAATGGTGAAACAGAAGAGGAGGCATCATGGGGTGGATATGGATTAAGTAATCGAGTAGGAGGTGGTGAAATTGTTAAAGGCATGCCATATTAAAGAAATTCAATTCCCTGAGTGGTTGTCCAATACGGTGATGATGTCGAAGGCGGAAGGCGAATGGAGGATGTGCATCTATTTTCGATATCTGAACAAGGCGTGTCCAAAAGACTTATACCTGTTGTTGAAGATCGACCAACTCGTAAGCTCCACAGCTAGTTGCGAGTTACTTAGCTTAATGGACGCCTCCCAGGGGTATCACCAGATTCCTCTAACTCGAGAAGATAGAAAGAGAGTGAGTTTCATGACGAGCAAAGGTACGTATTGCTATGTGGTGATGCCGTTTGGCCTGAAGAACGCCGGGGTGACGTACCAAAGGTTGGTCGACAAAATATTTAAAGAACAGCTCGGGCGGAATATGGAGTTTTATGTCGACGCATGCTCGTGAAGAGTAAAGAGGAGGCCGATCATGTGGGGGATTTGAGGGAAACATTCCAAACGTTGAGAAGGTATGGCATGAAACTTAATCCAACTAAGTGCTCTTTTGGTGTAAAATTGGAAAAGTTCTTGGGATACATGGTGACAAAACGAGGAATCGAGGTGAACCCCGAGAAAGTTCGAGCAGTTATGGAGATGAGGCCGCCAACGAATGTAAAAGAGGTGCAGATATTAACTGGTCGAATCGCGGGCTTAAGTAGATTCATTTCTAAGGTGGCGGAGAAAAGCGGTCCATTGTTCAAAACGTTGAAGAAGAGCTCGAAATTCCAGTGGACGGTCGAAGCTCAGAAAGCCTTCGACGAATTGCAGGGGGTGCTTGCCAATTTATCTTTGTTGGCTAAACCGGTGCAGGGGGAGGAGTTGGTGCTTTACTTCTCTATTGGGGAAAATGCGGTGAGTTCAGTGTTACTGCGCATAGAAGGGGTGGCTCAATTACCCATATATTATGTCAGTCGAGTGATGCAAGGGGCAGAGCTGAGGTAGTCGGAGATCGAGAAATGTGCTTTGGCGGTGGTCGTAACGGTCAGGAAGTTGAGGCCATATTTTTTGAATCACGAGGTGAAGGTGCGGACGAGTATGCCTTTAGGAGAGACCCTTGGTCGACCCTCGATCGCGGGTCGATTGGTTAAATGGGCGGTCGAGCTGAGTGAGTACTCGATCACATACAAGCCGAGAAAAGCAATTAAGGCACAGGTGTTGGCCGACTTCATACAAGAAGGCACGAGGCTGGAAGAGGAATAAGCAAGAGTTTGGCAGTTGTTTGTAGATGGTTCGGTGACGAGGAATGGAGCAGGACTTGGTATTGTGCTTATTTCGCCCAAGGGCGATTACTTGGAGTACGCTGCTAAGATGGGGTTTCGAGTGTCGAATAATGGGGCTGAATATGAGGCGGTCATTAAAGGATTGCAGTTGGCCCTGGCGGGGGGTGCTCAAAAGATACAAGTACATTCGGATTCCCAATTGGTGGTAGGGCAGTTTCAAGAGGGTTTCGAAATAAAGGAGGAAATGATGCAGCGGTATATGGATGCGATGAAAAAGCTGAAAGAGGAGTTTCGCTCCATTGAGTGGATGCAAATACTGCGAGAGGAGAATGGTCGAGTTGATTTTCTATCCAAAATCGCCCAGAACTTGGTGGACTACAAAAGCAGGAGTGTAACCTTGCTACATATAGAGAAAATTGTGGTCGAGGCGGAGGTGGCGGATATCGAAGAAGTTGAAGATTGGAGGTCCTCGATCTTAAGGGAATTGCGAGAAGGTGTGGTGAAGGTGTTGAGGTGGTTTTTCGAACACGAGGGAGTTTTTTATAAGCGGTCATATGCTGGACCACACTTACGGTGTGTAACAAAGGAGAAAGGTCGATACGTGCTCAGAGAGGTGAATGAAGGAAGTTGCAGTGACCACAGTAAAGCAGGGGCTTTGGTCGCAAAGATATTGAGGGCCAGGTACTTTTGGCCAACGATGAAAGCAGATGCAAAGGAGGTGGCAAGGAAATGCGCAATGCCAGAAACATGGTCTACTTATCCATCAATCGGCGGAGACGATGACGACGATGAGTGCCCCTATTCTGTTCGCACAATGGGGTATCGACCTGGTGGGGCCAATGCCACAAGGGACTGGGTAATGGAAATTCTTGATTGTGGAGGTCGATTATTTCACGAAGTGGGTGGAGGCCGAACCATTGATAAAAATCATGGAGAAAGTCATACACTTTTTATATAACATTATTTGTTGCAGGTTTGGAGTCCCTAAAGTATTGATATCCGACAATGAAACACAATTCAATGGCAAGAGGATTCGGGCATGGTGTGAGGACATGAAAAATCGAGCAACACTTTACCTCGATGGTCCATCCACAAGCTAATGGACAAGTCGAGGTGACCAACATAATCATTCTAAATGGACTAAAGAAGAGGCTGGAGAAAGCATTGGGAGCCTGGGTGGACGAACTCACATCTGTACTCTGGGCATATCGAACCACGCCAAGGTCGAAAACCGGAGAAACTCCCTTCAGTTTGGTCTACGGGATGGAGGCCTTTTTGCCAGTTGAAGTTGAATTACAGTCTCAAAGATCGAGCAGTTATGAACTAGGGCAGAATGAAGAGTCAATGATGGCAGCCCTGGACACAATTGAGGAACTCAGAGGGCAAGCCTCGACCGGGATTGAGGCATATAAACAAAGAATGCGAGCAGCACATGATAGGAAGGTGAAGATCCGCAGATTCCAAGTTGGCGATCTGGTTTGGAAGAGGATCGACATGTTGAAACATGTGGGCAAGCTGGAACCAAACTGGGAAGGACCATACCTGGTTGAGAAGGTGCATGCTAGAGGAGCCTATTCACTAAAAGATGCTGAAGGACAATCATTGGCCAGGTCATGAAATCTTGCCAACTTAAAGAAACATTATGTTTAAATTTTTTCTTTTACTACTAAATGGTCAAAAACAATGTAATTCGCATTTCCCTCTGAATATTAATGAAATTTCGCATTTTTTCTTCGTTGGATCTTTACATTACCTGCTTGGAATGTTGGTTTTTGGTATGACCTCAGTGGCAGGTCGTTCGAGTGAGAAAAAAGTCCACTCATTTTTAGAACATCCTGCGATAAGGGTGGGCGAGTGGTCGCTTGTTTCGAACATTCCTTGGGGTGGGCAAGTGGTCGAAAATGTCCTCGCCTCCGGGCAGGACGACGCTCTATTTCGAACATTTCTTGGGGTGTGCAAATGTTAAGACCAAAGTCCACTCATTTTTGAAACATCCTGCGATATGGGTGGGCGAGTGGTCGCTTGTTTAGAACATTCCTTGGGGTGGACAAGTGGTTAAAAAAGTCCTCGCCTCCGGGTAGGACGACCGCTCTGTTTCGAACATTCTTTGGGGTGGGCAAGTGTCAAGACCAAAGTCCACTCGTTTTTGGAACATCCCGCTATAGGGGTAGGCGAGTGGTCGCTTGTTTCGAACATTCCTTGGGGTGGGCAAGTGGTAGCAAAAGTCCTCGCCTCCAGGCAGGACGATCGCTCTATTTCGAACATTCCTTGGGGTGGGCAAATTTCAAGACCAAAGTCCACTCATTTTTGGAACATCCCGCGATAGGGGTGGACGAGTGGTCGCTTGTTTCGAACATTCCTTGGGGTGGGCAAGTGGTCGAGAAAGTCTTTGCCTCCGGGCAGGACGACCGCTTTGTTTCGAACATTCCTTGGGACGGGCAAGTGTCAAGAACAAAAGTCCCAGCCCGACACCCACACGAACCTAATGAATACAGGGAACATGTTGGAGACCTCGGAGGGGGTCTATTTGGCATTAGAGAAGGCAAGTGGTCGAGTATGACACAGACCTTGTTGGTAAATTTAAGGCAATGCTTGAGGACCATAGGACAAGCCAGCTTAAGGATCCACTTCACAAAACGTGGCGAATATATACAGTTACAAGCAAAGTATTGGGATTACGAGGGTACCTTGCAAGATTTAAATTGAAAAAGGGAGCAGATACAAAATGATAAAGTGAAGGGTGCATACATCAAGTAATGTAAAGCTGGCATCGACAAGATAGAAAAATCAGTGTTTCATTCAAAATAAAGATTACACAATATTACAATAAACATAGAAATACATTGGTAATCCTAGTCTACTTCGGAGGAGCAGCAGTTTGATTGGCAACACCAGTAGCTTGATCGACCGGGTTGGCAGTGGTGGACGAAGGATCATCGGGCGCAGCAGTAGAAGAACCAGGAGCCGGGGTCGAGGAGAACATGGCGACAGTGACAGGAAGGCGTTTCATAGGCGCTTCACCCGACTTCGGCAGGTCGAAGGCAGCCTTCAACACGTTGTCACTCGCAATGGCCCGTGCCAAAGACTTCGACCACCATGGATGCTCGGCTGACTGGTTAGGATTGCCAGTGAAGTTAGCTGGCACTGCGGGGATGGCATCCCAGGTTTTATCATGATCGAGCTCACCCGCAAAGCCTGGGCCTTCAACTGTCGCTCGACCTCTTCCAAGGTGCGGGTGTCGAAGTCGAGCCCCATACTCGACGGTTCTTTGAGAAAAGCTGTCGAGCAGATGTAGTCCTTGATCAGTTGCTCCCTATATGTCTTAAGGAACACCTGACCAAGCCGCGACCTCCACAGCGCCTTGCGAGACTGCTCCGTTGCAGCGATGGCAGCAGCCTCGACCTCCTTCTTCCGACCTGCCCTCTCCTGCTCGAGCACCTGGTCCTTAGCCTTCAGCACCTCCTCATTCTTCTTGAGTTGGTCGGATAATTTACGGCGCAACTGGAGGAGCTCCTGATTCTCGGCCTTGAGCCGCGTAACCTCTACCTCGAGTCTCTATTTTTCACCCTCTATCACAGGGAGAGGTCGACCAGAACTGGCCAAGGTCTCCTCGATCAAGGGGACGGCGGAAACGAGAGTCTACAAAATAAAGACTACATATAAGTAGAGATATTAAAAAACATAAATATAAGATAAAATTAGCAAAGACATTAATACTCATTACGGAACATACATGGGTTAAGGCGCGCAACAGATATTCTCCATGCGCTCTCCGGTCGACATCCCCGCGATGGGTATCCTCGACCGACAGGAAGTTCATCAGGCGAGAGATTACTTCCTTAGGACCAGCTGACACCAAGGAAGTTTGAGGAGACGGTTGGGAGAGCTCGATCTCAGAAGTTTTACCCTCGAGATGAGTTCGTTTATTGTAAGAGGTAGGATGGTCGCTCGCTTGAACAACGAGGTTAGGAGAAACTATCTCCGACTGAATACGCTTCTTGGTCGAAGGGTCAGTAGCCTTACCTTGCTGATCAGTTTGTCGAGGAAAGGAGGAGGTACGTTGCTTGGTCGAGACCGAGGGGTTTACGGACTTGTCGACCTTCGAGGGAGCCTCCTTGGTCGTCGAAGCACCCTTAGTCTTGTCGACTGTGGTCAAGGAATCTTTGGAGGCTGGCCTTTTGTTAGCAGACTTCTTCACCTCAGGTTTGTTCAAGAATCCCTCTACACAAGCAAGACAAAGAAAAGTTAGAGGAAATATTAGTCATGGTACAAGAACAAGTGTTTAAAGCAATAAACAGTTTATGATCGAGTACCTCGAGATACTCGAGACTCGTTCATATGAAGGTCTGCAAGGGCCTGGTCGATGCGTAGGTCGGTTATCGTTTATGCAAGAGGAGGAGGATAAGGCTTGTGGGTAAGTATGCCACAATAGTGCAGAAGTTGGTTATCTTTGAGAAGGGAAATGAAAGCGACAGGGTTAGAATTCCAGAGGGCGATGCGACAGTTGAAGATAGGATTTCGATGAGGAGCGGCAACCTCAAAAGGGAGTTCCTGGAGCCAAGGAGTAGGGGCCCAAGGATAAGGGGTATCTGGTCGAATATACACATAAGTTTGTTTCCATTTTGGGACATTGGAAGGACGGTGAGCTATGAAGTAGGCGTTATTCCTACTTGTCAGGTATAAGCCTCCAGACTATTTGGAGGCTAAGTAGCAATAATGAAAAATGCTAGGTCGACTCGACCTAGGTGGATAAAAGAGAGGATGATGAAAGTAGTTAGGATCCTAAATACGTTAAGGGGAAGTTGGTTAAGGGCCAAAGCATACACGGAGCACAGCTCGAGCAGGGGATTGTAGATGGAAAAACGCAGGCCAAGGTCAAATTGGGATTTGAAGAAGGTATAACACCCCTCAGGAGGGTGATCATATGTGTCATCGTCAGAGGGCCTATAGACACCATAGGGACAACCAATCTCATCGAGGTCGACCCACTTGATATGGTTCGAGCGGCGGCGACAGTTTTTGTACGAACGTTTTGTTTTGGGGTAGCTGGTAGAGGGGTTGGATTTTTTGAGAGAAGAAGTTGTTGGTTGAGGAGAAGGAGTTTTGAGCAGTTCTTTTCCTCCTCCTCATTGTTCTCACATCATTGTTCTCACCGAGGAGTGATAGACGAGAACGAGTAGAGGAAGGGGGAGGAGGAGGATGAGGGTTAGAGGTACCCACATCGGGATTATCGACAAGGTAGGTAGAGGGGGAGACAGTCTCAGTGGAGCAACTCTAAGAGGGAAGAGTTGGTCGAAACACATTAAGAGGTTGTTCTTTGAGAGGTTGATTTGGGAGAATCTCCTCAACAGAATTGCCGGAAGGAGAAGAGGTCGAAGAAGAAGGAGAGGTCATGTCTCTGCCGCTATGATGGTCGTTTTCATTTGATGTTGCAAAATCTGGAAAAATCAAGGAAAAATGTCAAAAGAAAGAATTTTTTGGAGGAAGCTTTTCGAAACAGAAATAAGGGAGGGAGAGATTCGGTGTTGTGGAGAGTGGATTTAGGAGATTTTAGGGTTGAAATCGACAGTTCAAAGAGGATTAAAAATTTGCAAAATTCAAAAGAAAACACAAATTAGAGAATTCAGAGGACTTACTCATCATGAATAGTTGAAGTGGTGGCGGTGGAGCTTGACGTCTTGAAGAGCGCAAGAACACGAAGTTGCAGAAAACTTGAAGATCCAGAGAAGGCAAAGGAAATTTAAATGCATGCGTTTGTAAAATGAGAAAAAATTCCGAAGTGTTATTGCGAGGGTATTTATAGAAGATGAAGAGGAAGAGGCAATCAAATACCAGCCGTGGGATTATGATGTTTTGAGGGCCTCGATTAAATGGCAGGAGAACAGTCACGGGGTCGTCAAACCGTTGGATCAAAGATGTTGATCTAACGGTCATAATAAAAAAGATATTTATTGAGCACGTAGTATGAAGGGGTGCGGATTACGGGGTAATGATGAGGCCTGACATACGAAAAGACGCATTTGACAAGTGGCAGTTTTTGAATTTTGAAATTCAAAAAGGTAGTTGAAGTAAGAAAAGGTTGAGAAGAAATAAATAATATATCAGGTGGTCGAAATCAACAGAGAAGACGACGACAACAAAAGGTGCATACGAAAATCTACTCTTAGATCGAGTCATTCAGACTCGACCAGAGTGGGGAGGACTAGATGATGTGGGATATTATATATATCAGACCAGTCCAACGGGTTGACAGAATAAATCCGACTAATTGGTTTGGTCGAGCAGAATCCATTTTGGTCGGTGGCAAACAAAGGTTAAGAGTACGGAAATCTTGGGGAATCCAGCAGGCTCCAGCGTCATAGAAGTCTTGGTCGAACTTCCTCAAATGGTCGCGAGATCGACCATACTGTACGCTAGGGGCAGCTCGTCAGCCTGTCCAGATTTGGTCGAACATAAGAACCTCTAAGGGAATCTCAGATACACGTGCGTGGGACACGTGGTGTGACCTAATTGGTCTAGGTCAATAACCGTCTCTGACACATTCCTGACACACCTACCTAGGGGTTGTACTATCGGGCAGGTCGGGCAGCCAGCTCATCAGTTCTGGGCAGCTTCTAGAACTGGTAGTTCACCCCTATATATAGGGGTGAATAGGGGTGAACCTTACTCATTTCATTCATTCTCTCATATTTTCACCATCACTCATACATATATCATCTTCTGAAGACTGACTTGAGCGTTGGAGGCTCTTACCGAAAACTCCCTCCGCTGTGAGAGTTTCGTGCAGGTTCCGACATTCTATCGGTGAGAGGAGCAATGTAACACCCCGCTTATCAGAGTAAACTTTTTGCAACTTTTACTTCGAAAATGCTTATAAATTTTTTGAAATCTTTTGCACTTAACTCGGGATGCTACTAAAACTTATCTTTTCTGGAAATCCGTTTTTCTTTAAACTTTGTCTAACTACTGATTCAGACATAAAGAAAACAGATTTAATCAAACATGCATGTAACTGGACCACGTTCATACTGTTGAGCTGGTCAAAATCATTAAGTCTGAAAATACTTTACATGCAAGTTCGAATCTTAAAATGTGTAGCGGAAAATTTGAAAAGCGTGACATAATATTATACAGACTGTATAAATAAATGTCCCCATAATATAGCAACTGTTTGCATCCACAACCACCACCACCACTTGTAGATCTCACACCTCTGCCCCGACCCCGTGACCTGAAAAACACAATGGGGGTGAGTACTGGTCCTTTTGTACCCCGAAATCACCCATACTAAAGTAAACAATAAATATAATATAAATCATGATCGTCAATATATATCTGGACTGGAAATATGTTCGAGTAACTGAAATTGAATCTGTAATATGGCTGATATCTGATCGGTACGTGTGCACACTCTGATGGATATTTCTAAGGCAACTAAGGGCCTCCATCAGAACTTAGGATGTACTGTTAAGGCAACTGGGGGCCTTCATCCTAAGCGTATAAACTGTATACATACCTCGGACATGATACCATATTATAGTCAATGTAATACCTAAGCTGGGTCCCCACCTTTCTCCTTTTGAAAACTTTTGAAAACTGTAAGTGTTGTTCTGGGTAGCTGTATCTGCAAGCTACATAAAAATATAAACAAATATACTAAGTACTATGCTCGTAATATACTCAATAAGATGCTAGGATGCTCGGTT